TTCCAGAAATCTACACTTCCAAGGAGGTCAGGTAGAAAAAGGCAGGTCAGAGGAGAGGGTGATAGAAAAAGCAAAGCTGGGGGCCATGAAGGTCAGGGACAGAGAGTCCACCCTGTGCCCACAGTCCTCTGTGGGGCAGCCACCATCTCAGACTATCCTTTGTGTGACCCTCCCTCCAAAGTTTTTGCCCCAGGTGAAAAGATTCCTAGTTATACTTGGGCCAGGGTCCCATAGCATATACATTCATCTCTGGGGAAGGGGTGGCAAACATGCATTAGGCACCTACTATGTTCCAGGCACAGTGCTAAGTCTTTTGCAAATATCTCTTTTGACAACTGGAACTTAATTGCAACACGTGAAAAAAACAAACAGAAAAAAAACAACCCACCCACCACTCTTTGAGCACCTGCTGGGGAAGGTACTTTATTTTTTTAACACCTGGAACACCTTCATTCCAGCAGAGATGAATCTACCCTCACGTTTCTGCCGTGGCACTTGGTTTCCCCGACGAGACTTGATTTCAGTCACCTTTTAGGTCACCACCTGAAGCTATTTTGGTCTCAGTTAGGAAGTAGCTGAGTCAAAAAGTTCATTTGAGGAAGAGAGGAGGGGCTTTCAGAAAGAAAACAAGAGGAGAAGCGGCGAAATATTTGAAAGGGTGGGAGGCTCTCACTGCACATGGGGAAGATGTTTAAGCATAGGTATCCAAGTCAAGCCCACCTGAGGAGTCATAATCCCCTGAGACTTTTCCCTTCCTCTTTCCTACAAGGCTCTGCTTAGTCGAGGGTTAGCTATTTTAAAAGTGCATTACTAATAACTAAAAACCTCATCAGTGCTTCTGATTTTCCAGGGCCAACCATATGATGGCTAGAGAGCTGGAGTTGGGAAAGCTCCTTAGAATTCATCAGGTCTAAGCACCTCATTTGACAAATGAGGAAGCCAAGGGTCAGAGAAGTCGTCAGCAAAGCTAAGAGTGGACTCCCAGGTTTCTTGACTCCTAGTGCCATGCTGTCTTGGCCATACAGAATCCCTGAGTGTTAGATTGGGAAAGGGCCTTAGACTCAGCATGGTACCTGGGACAGAAGAAGGGCTTAAAAACAACTTATTGCGGATGAGGAAACTGAGGCCGAAGGACAGGAAGGGATTTGTCAGGTTATATCTGTCCGTGATAGAAAGCCAGGGTCGGGATATCTGTGCCTTGATGCAAAATCATCGATCCAGCTTTCTTAGAAACTGTTCTTGGAGCAAAGTTTCCCCAGTTTGAAACACCATCTGCCAGCAGGAGTTCTTTTGGGATGAAAACCGTAGCCCTGCTATCCTAATAGTTACACTGTACGAGAAAAGGGAAGGGACTGTCTCTTGTTTCTTTTGGCCTGGTGCCTTCCTTCTCACCCCACGGCTCCACTATCCATGCAGCATTGTCACCCTGGGGCCATCTGCTTCCTGTGTACCTTTGAGCAAGCCAGGGAACCGACCTCAGAAACAGAAGTAGGCATCCTGAAGGAAACCGTGGATAGTGCCATTCTTGTCCTGCGGTTTTCCTCTGATTGGCCAGGCAGGGGAGCAGGCAGCAGATGGCTTTCACATGTTTTTCAATCTGCCTTGAGTAACTTTCAGGCATCCCTGCAGGGTTTGCTCAGTTTCTTCCCCCCTTCAACCCTGAACTATTTCTACTTTACCTCACGTTGTCTGTATCTTCTTCACGTTGATATTTCATCTCAGTTTATGAAGGGAGTTAATGCCACAATTCTAGTTCCCAAATTTTCTCCACTTTGGTTTCTATTTTGTACTTTCTAAACTGTCCCTCCTAGGCTATGGAGTAATCACTGCATTTCAATTTCCCAGCATCAATAGAAATCATGGGTTCCAAGAACACCTTTTACCAAAAAATGTCCCCTCTTCCAAATAACTGTTCTGTACCTTTCCCCCAATTCTTTTTGTGTCAGAAGCTCTCATGACATGAAAGGCTTAAGACAACTCTGGGGGGTGGGGTTTCACTTCCCCCTCCTTTTTTTAAAGTTAAACATATTATTAAAAAATTTTCTAGGTAAAGAATATGGGAGACTTTTTAAAAGCCTCCAAATACAGAGGATCTTTTAAATGAGCTTCTACTGGCTTTGTAAAGCTGACTCAAGTCCTAGTCAGGTAAAACAAATATTCCTTTTTGTGTGTATCTTGCAGATTTAATATGCAAGTCAAATGGCTAGGGCATTCCATCATCTAGAAGAGGGGCATTTAACCTGGGGTGTCTAGACCTCCGGGGATTCCTGGATAGATTTTGGGGTCAGTGAACTTGGATAGACTAAAATTGCATCTTTATTTCACTAACCTCTCCCTGAAATTGAAGATTTCCTTGAATTATTTAAAAGCATTATTCTGAGGAGTCCACAGGCATCTCCAGTCTCCCAGTGGAGTCTGTGGCATTCCCGTGGTCTCTAAGAACTTGGTTTTAGGTGGCTAGAACACGATCAGAGGAGATGGTTTTCTTAGACTTCAGTGGATGGCCTGATGTTACAAATGTTTCCATAATCCATCCCAACTTGGGGATGCTGTCCTTGAAAGTTGATTAGTAATCATTTTGGTTTTTGGTTTTTGGGTTTTTTTTCACTCTCTTGGCCAGTATGTATGTAACTCCTGAGGAGGAAAACTGGGTCAGTGCACTATGTAACACCCTGCAATCCCAGACCTGCAATCTGATTGAAGCCTACTGTTGCGAATGTCTTAGAAAAGAGTTTTGTTAGAAGAAGGAAAGCAAAACAGAGACCCTTAAATGCATAACCATTAGTCCCCAAAGATAAATTAGGTGCTCAGTGTCTCTTTTCCTCTCTCTGTCTCATTCTCTTTCATTCTGTCTCATTGTCCCTCTCCATCTACCTCCTCCCTTTCTCTCTCTTTCCTCCCTTTTCCATTCCTCGGGAAAAAAACCTTTCCTGACATCCCTTAATGCTAGTGCCTTCCCTCTGCTGATTGTCCTCATTACATCCTGTTTATAGATTGTTTGTATGTAATTGTTTGCATGTTGTCCCCCTCGTTAGACTGTGAGCTTGTTGAGAGCAGGGACTGTCTTTTCCTTTCTTTGAATACCTGGTGCTTAGCCCAGTGCCTGGCACATAGTAGGTGCTTAATAAACGCTTGTTTACTGACTTCTCTCCCTCCATCTTCCATCTCTTTAGCCACCTGACCCACTAGTTTCTCAGATAAATCTGTACTATTTTAATCTTTCAGTGCCCTCTCGCCTTGTAAGATAAGGTCAAAACTTCCTGGGTCTTCTTTTCCTCTGGTCATACTAGTCCTCTTCTTTCCATCTTCTTTCCCCTTTGTTTCTTCAAGTCTCTATCAGACGTGGACCTCATCACCCATGTCCTCCTGGAGGAGAACATTAAATTTGCCCTCTCCCTGGAGGAGCTCCCTTCACTAATGGCATCTGCATCTCCAAACTTTCTTCAAAATCCATCCTTCTCACAGCTGCCAAACTAAATTTCATAAGTGTATAAATCGGGTCACATTCCCTACATTCCAGCCCAGCTGGACTACTGGTTGTTCCCATATTCATCCTGCCCTTTCCCCTCTCTGTGCATTTGCTTAGGGTGCACTCCCTCCTGTTGAAATCCTCCTCTTCAAGGCCTAGGTCATGGGCTCCTCCATGAAATCCTCCTCTTCATGGCCTAGGTCATGGGCTCCTCCATGAAATCCTCCTCTTCATGGCCTAGGTCATGGGCTCCTCCATGAAAATCTCCTCTTCAAGGCCTAGGTCATGGGCTCCTCCATGAAATCCTCCTCTTCATGGCCTAGGTCATGGGCTCCTCCATGAAAATCTCCTCTTCAAGGCCTAGGTCATGGGCTCCTCCATGAAATCCTCCTCTTCATGGCCTAGGTCATGGGCTCCTCCATGAAATCTTTCTCTGCAAGGCCTAGGTCATGTTGTTGTTATTGTTCAGTCATCTCAGTCTTTGTGACCCTATTTGGGGTTTTGTTGGCAGAGATACTAGAGTGGTTTACCATTTCCTTCTCCGACTATGGTTTTATTTATTTTGTTCAATATTTCCCAATGACATTTTAATCTGGTTCAGGCTATATTGAGATTGTTGTAGGTTCCATGTGGCCCACTGGCCTCCTGTTTGACACTTCTGGTATAGTGGGTAGAATACAGGACTTGGGTTCAGATCTTGCCTCAGATACTTACTAGTTGTGTGATTCTAGGAAAGTCACTTCATGTCTCACCCTCAGTTTCCTGACCTGTATCATGGAGAGAATAACAGCACCTACCCCGCAGGGTTGTTGTGAAGAACAAATGAGACAATATATATAAAACTCTTTGCAAACCTTAAAGAGCTTATATAAAGCTGGATGTTATTGCTTTATTGATTTTAATTGATGTTAAATTAATGTTAGCTATTTTTATTGAAACACTTTGTAAACCTTAAAGTGCTATATAAATGCTCTTATTATTTCTTGTTCAAACTCCTCATTTTCCCCTGCAGATGAGGAAACTGAGTTATAGAAAGTGACACTTCAGGTCACAGACCTATTTCTGGTTGGTCCCTAGACCTGTGATGTCACTGGTGTGAGGAACTCCCAGTATGGAAATTTCCCTTCCAATGCCAATGCAAATATGTAATTTTTCTATAACTTATAGTCTTACAGTGTTGCCTAGAGCACTGAAAGGTTAACCAACTTGCCTATGGTCACACAGCTAGTATATGTTAGAAGTAGTACTTGCACTCAAGTCTTCCTTACTCCAATGTTAGTCCTTTGTTCATTATGCCATGCTGCCTTTTATTTGTCCATATAGTCTTTTTTTTTTCTTTTTGCAATTAGGGTTAAGTGACTTGCCCAGGGTCACACAGCTAGTAAGTGTCAAATGTTTGGTCTGAGGCCGGATTTGAACTCAAGTCCTCCTGACTTCAGGGCTGGTGCTCTATCCACTGTGCCACCTAGCTGCCCCCCATCTAGTCTTTCCAAATAGTCTGGGAACCCCAAATGCAAATTCATCTCAGACATAAGTTTTAAAAATGTATTTATTTCAAACATTAAAAAATAGGTTTTTTTAATGAAAATAAAAACAGCAGATAGAAGATATATTGAAAAGGTATCCTATTGATACAGATAATAACCTTTGGTAAATACTTTCAGGAAATCAGGTCAACAGTTGAAAAATCTTACTTCTGTTGACAAAATCACATATAGTTGAGGTATTTTGCACAAACAAGCCAGTGATTTACATTCAGGTAAATTCTGTAGCATTAGTCACCTTGCCACCTTCTAGAATTCTCCAATGTGGAGCAGGCTCATTTCTCTAGTGGCATCTTAGCTTGAGCCAACATTCATGAAACTGAGAATGTCCCTTAATTAATGTTAATGTTACCATAGAAACCCTGGATAGCTGGCTTCCAGCCACTCCAAGGATGTGACGCAAAGATTGACATTAGCTAATTAGAAGAGACATCTGCTTTGAGTGTTATGCTCAGGGCTCTCCCCAGCCCCCCAAACTTCCCATCCTATCTTCTCCAGAAACTGCTACAAACTTTCCAGAAACTCCACATTTTGGTCATTGACCTGAGTAGAAAGCCAGGGTCCCATACTCTTGCTCAAAATCACTATCCTCAGTTTTCACCATTTCTCCAAAGCGAAATGTCTTCAGACTGTCTCTGGCTTCCAAAACACTGCGTACACCTGAAGCATGGCTTTAGGTCAGGAAACACAGATACAGGCTATGACTCAGTGTGAAAGAGGAAGACGATGAGGTTCTGGAATGCTCACTGAGGAATTCAGAAACCATGACCCTTCTCATCATGGAATGGGAGATGCTACCAGCCATAGCTTTTGAGGGGCATGACCTAGCCATCAGTCCTACCCTCAATCCATGGGCTGCGATGGCCCAGATTCTCCAATATGTACCAGGAAATTTGGGATTAGGTTATTGACAGTTGTCCATTTCCCACAGGTGCAGAAGTGGCTGAAATACAGTGTGAGTGCTGGTGCCCCAAAGCCTTTTTGAGTCTACAAGTAGCATGGTAGATCCGTCCTATGACCCAGCAGACATATCAGTGCAAAGCAGGGGTGGGGAATGGGTCACAGACACCAGAAAAGGCCGAAGCTTCGGAGAGCCAGGTGGAGTTAAATAGTTTTCTCCAACACTCCCTGTCTGTTGCCACTTTATTTGGTACCCCCCTCCAAATCTGAATCTCAGCTCCTCCACTGGGTTTTCTACTTCCATCTCAAATCATTGGATTTAGGCACATCAAAAAGACCCTGATATTTACATGGCCTGAACTTTTGATTTATCCTTATCTGGATCCTGTCTCAGGCCATGATTCTCTTCCCTAAGAGGTGTACACTCCTGCCCACCCTGCTAGTGCTCGTCTTCATCAGAGACACAATTTTCCCATCTCTTCCAGGATACATCTGACAATTTGTCCCTGGCAAATGAATCCATAAGTTCATTTCTATGCTTTAGAGGAAAGGACTCTCTGAGGGTTACTAATGGCGAGGTGGACCCAGCATTGATCAAAACACATTCTTTGTTGTTTCTCATTCCAATAAGCCTCAAGGCTGCACAACAATTTCAATATAAACATTGTACAGACAGGGGTTTCCAGTTCTTCGTAGTCAAAAGAGTAAGTGGATATTCTGACATGTTGGCTTTTACTATAAACGTATGCAGATGGCCACTGATGTTGAGTCACTAGCACCAAGGCCAACACAAGAAGCTAAGGTTTGGGTCAAAATGGCCTCCCATGGATTAAAGTCAATAGTCAGTCAAGATGAAGGAGAATCTCAGTGGTAGCTTATGACTTCAAATCATACATTTGCAGAGTTACAAGGGACCTCAAAGGTTTCTAGCCAAATCACAATCCGAAGCAAGAACCCTTTTATGCAATCCCCACCAAGTGGCCATCCAGTGTCTGCCTGAGCTCCTGCAGTGGTGGGGAATTTGCCGCCTTTCCAGACAATTTGGAGTAGCACTTTCTCAGGGATGGAATAAGACTCAAGCAAGAAGGCTCAAAGTGACTTATGCTTCACTTATCCTAGCTTATTGAGAGAGAGGCAGAAAGACAGAGACAGAGAGACAGGAAAACAAAGGCAGAAGCAGAGGGTTGGGGAGTGCTCTTCGGTTAGTAAAAAAAAAAAATAACAAAAAACAAATCTTCAGGGTTACAGTAATCCTGAGAGCAATCATCATTTTGAGATCAAAGCTTGCTGGCTGTCTGAGATAATGAGTTATCTGAATTTCACATCTCAGTCGAACTTGGCTCGGCTTGAGTTTGTTAAGCTTGTATGTGGGCAAAAAGGAAAAAAAAACCCTTTCAAATACTTTAAGAACTGCAAGGCACAGAGCGACCCTTTGTGAGGCAGATGCTTATTTTGAAGTTTCCTCTGAGCACTACTTCTGCTGTGCTCAGGTCTCAGAAACCTTTATGAAACTTCAGATAACATTAAAAAAAGTTTTTTTTAAAACCACCCACCAACCAACCAACCTTAAAAAACCTGCTTGATGCTATTGTGAATTAAGATTCACCGCCTAAGCCGGCAACAGGCTTTCAAAAGTTCCCAGTTTAAGCCAGCTTTGCAAACAAGCCTTGGACATCACAGAACTTAGAGGCGGAAGGGACCTTGGTTAGCAACACTGCCTCGTCCAACTTCTCCCATTATCAGACCCATTTTACAGATGTGGTAACTGAAGTGCAAAGAGTCATTTGGCTAATATCACCTAGTTAGTTAGTGGCAGGGCCAGGACAAAAGCCAGGCCTCCCAGTCCTACAGGCTAACCTTCTGGTCAACTTGCCCCCTTAGCCAGTGCCAGTCACAACAAAGTGTTTAGGGCAAATAGCGAAATGAGGTGATTTTTGCTTTTGTTTTTCTTATCTACCTTTTCTTAGAGAAGAGGGTAGCCTGGCAAACAGGGATGGGGAGAGGGTGAGCCAGTGAATATGGAACACTTGACTGAGAGGATAAATTAGAGAAGCATTAAAAAGGTGGTGGAGGTGGGAACAGAGATAACAAATTTTCCTATGAGCCTCTTCTGGCCCAAAGAACTCTAATCACTCTAAGTGACGAGGTGCTTTTCCATTGACCGTTCTTAGCAGTTGTGTCATATTTATTTCATGACATTATCTACCGGACAAATCCACTATCATTTCTTCCATCCTTTCCAGGGATGAAGGTGCAGCATAGAAGAGTAAAACAGAAGTCCAGAGACCTGGCTCTGCATTTCTGCTCTGCCACTAATAAGTTTTGTGATCTTAGGTAGATCTCAGTTTCCTCACCTATAAAATAACACAAATTGAATGAGATGAACTCTAAGGTCTCTCTCAACTTGAAGATTCTGTGATCTAATTCTAATGGGTAATTCTAGGGCAAAGGAGAGGAGGGATTTCTGTGGGCTTTTTAAGTAAATTCATCAAAAACAAAATAATACTAGAATCCTTCCTCTTGGGAGAGGGAGAGCATAAGGGAAAGAGGAAAATAATATTTTCTTCCTCCTTCCTCTTTTTCACTTGGCTCAACTGTCCAAAGTTATTGTGCTTTTAGCCTGAGTTATTTATACACAGACCCTATTCTAATATCAGCTGTTCTTCCTCTCAAAGAAAAAGAAAGTTAACGTGCTTTTAAAAAAGCTAAATAAAAACTACATTCTTGCTTATTCTTTTCTTTTCACATCCCTATTCACATAAATATTGTCTCCCTGCTTACTTCAGTTTATTTCAAAACAAAACAAAACATAAAACTATAGTGAAAATGAGACTTCATGCTTCACATGAAAGGGAACCATATGCTAGGCTGGCCTTAAGTGGACTAGAAGGAAAGGACACTACTACATCCTAGCTGCCATTAAGCGGAAAAAAGTTAGCCTCTGTTCCTTGTGGGGAGGGGGGAGGGGTGGAACACTGTGAACCAAAGAGTTGTAGGACCATGAGCAAGTCTCTGGGCCTCAGTTTCCTCATCTGTAAAATGAGGGTGTTGGACTACAGAGAGGGCAAGGAGGAACTTTCAGATACTAAGTAGGTGTGTTTTATATACAGTGAATGTTTGTATACATATATATACATATGGTAAAAAGTAGGGACAATTGGTACATAATAAAGTGTTTTGATCAAACACTAATTAGAATAGCCTTTGGGAGTGTGTGTGTGTGTGTGTGTGTGTGTGTGTGTGTGTGTGTGTATGCATGCATGCATGTGCACACATGTTAACATGGGGAAGGATGTTATTTTAAAATTTGGTCCTAAGAGATAGCACCATTTACTCATTCTCAACAGTATTCTGGGATGGGAAAAGAAGGCAGCATCTTGAGAAGAAAAAAAAAAAAACCAGCAAGGAAGAAACTGAAAGAGGGTCATAGGCCTAAAAGACCTGAATTTCTTCAACAGCTCTTCTAGGTATCCAAGAACCTTGGTAGGATGGTGAAAAGTGTGTATTGGGCGAGGAAATAAGCTCATAAGAAGTGACAGGCTAGCAGATGTGCTAGAAGTTATTGTGTCCAAATGAGGAGGGGGATATGCCTGGAGGATGAGGGAATGTTGATGGTTGAGTCCAGACCCACAGAAGCTTCTCTCTATTTAGTCCTGTTGTTCTTAGGAACAAGCTGACCCCTAATTCCATCCTCCTCTAGGTCCTGTCAAGGGAGCATAGCCTTTTGGGCTCATGGCCCTCCATATGCGTTTATGTGTGTCTCTTTTTCTGGGGTGGCTTACCAACCCAGTTACTCAGAGGATCGTGAGACATGGTGGTTTTGAAACCCAACCACCTTTTCCTCCTGGTTGGTGGGAATCAGTCTATTTGCTTCCAGCCTACTGTCTCCTCACTGCAAGAAGCTCTTCTTGGACCTAAAAAGCATTCTGGTTCTCTGAGGGAGCCCAGTCCAGCTTCCCCAGTAGAGCAATAAGTCAGGAGAAGCCCAAAGCACCAAACCCCATCAGCAGGTAGACTGAAATAACATTGAGAAGCATCCTTCTTGATAGTTCATTCAGTCTTCCTTTGTGCCACAAAGTTTAGCCTATCTGAAGCCCAAATACTCCATGCATTTTTGGGTCTATCTCGGGAAAAAATAGTCTCTGTTGGTAATGTCGTAAGGACTCTGGAGGTCCACGATGTCTTTCCCACTGTGCCCTGGGGTGTTGGTAGGCTCAGAGCTACTGGCAGACACTGATGGAGAGATGAAGGGAACCAGCACCGTGGTTGACTGGGGCTTCTCAGGGACCAGCGGACCCAAGGAATATGGAGGGAGCACGTCTGGCTTGCTTTCTTTCAAAGCTGTCAGCTTCGACTTTTTTCTGTACCTTGATAATACATGCACACAGAGAGAAACAAAACAAGAAACCCAGATGGTTACATGTACTGACAAATAAATCTTCAGCAAGGCTGCTCCCCTACATCATGAAAAACATTTCTATCTGGACCACTTTGATGAGGCCAGGCTCCCAGGTCAGATCACATGATCACAGATTTAGTGTCGGAAAGGAACCATGGAGACTACTGAGGCCAACTCCCTCATTTAGCAGATGATGAAACACAAAGAACTTAAGGTATTTGCCCAGGGCCATGCAACAAAAAAGTGCCTAAGGTGGGATTTGAACCCAGGTCTTCCTGACTCCCAGTCCAGCACCCTCTCCACTACACCAAAGGGATCTTAACTAAGTTTTTCATAGTGCTATCTGTTTCCAGAAGGTCTAAGTCAAAGGCCTCAGAAATACTTTAAAGAGCTGCTGATACATGCTTGATAATTGGGGGGAGGGGGGGGTTGGCGGGGAATATATATGTATGTATGCATGTACTTTACAGATGAGAAAACAGATAATTCCTGGGGGGCCAGTTCTTGAGACTACAACCTCAATTCCTATACTCAGCACTGAAACTATTTAATTTGAAAATAAGACATATTCTTTTTACTAGAGCAGAAAATAAAATGGGACATCAGACAAATGAATACTGCCTCTGAAAAACAGCAGGCAAAGGTGTTTTCAGGAGTGAATAAACAGCAAGAAAGCATTGCGCCACTCCCTCCCTCTAAAGCTCTCCTGCTTCTCCCTCCACTGATGCTCCTTCCTCCCCATCAACAATTGCATCTTTCAACACAGCCTATGGGAGATTTCATCTCCAGGCTCCCCAACTCTTGGGAGGCATACTGAGCTTCAACAGCTCCAACAGAGCCCTGCTGTGGGCACCATTTGGGCAAAAGTGACTCACTCAACAGGAAAGACAGTGTTCAACAGGAAAGAGATAGACATCTCTGTGATCACAGTTTCTGATGGAGTACTCAGCCCCCAGGGCCTCATGCCAAAGCTAAGTAACTGAGAAGAATAGTTTGGTAGCCCAAAGAAAGGTTCATTATCAACGACCCAAGGTCCAGCCATATCTCAGTGATCTTGGGACAGATGACCTATGCTCTGGACAGTCCAGGCCCCTTGGTTTCTTTTCTTTCTGGATTTGGAACAAGAGAATCTGAGTTCAAATCTCAGTTCTGCTACTTCCTGTCCACATGACCTCTTAGTACCTTATATACAGTAGGTTCTTAATAAATGCTTGTTGAATTGGATTCAGTTTTAGTTACCTCCTTGGTAACATCAGAGTAGGAGAACAAAATTATCTCTAAGGCCCCTTTCAGCTATGAGTTCTATGATTCTACTGCTATTCATACTTTGACTACCCCTTGATTCCTTGATTCCTCTGAAGGCGGGCAAGGCAAGGAAGATCACAGGATCAGATTTAGAGCCGGAAGAGAACTTAGAGGCCATTCAGTCCAGCCCACTCATTTTTACAGATGAGAAAACTGAGGCATAAATGACTCACCCAAGGTCATACAGACAGTTAGTAAGTGGCAGAACGAGTATCCACCATTCTACTGCTCAGATCCAGGTCCACTGATCACAAATCCAAGTCCTCTTTCCAATTTTCCAGGCTGAGATCTCTAATTTCAATTTATTCATCGTTATAGGTTAGCTGCTTTGTTTGGGGGGAAATGAGACCAGTACTCAAAATAAACAACAGAGATTGTCCTTGAGTTTCATTTCTCCATACTATCTTTATCCACATTGCTACTTGGCCCTTAACCTGGAACTCGGAAAAATTTAATGGAGTCTGCAGTATCTTAGTGAGACTTCGATTTGCAGATGTTTCCCAATATAGAAATGAGCAGAGCCAATGACTAGATGTTGTATCACAACCCTGAACAGATTATATCTAACTTCCTTGAACTGTGCACTCACATACAGTGAATTTAACCTCTGTGGACTTCAGTCTTTCTATCTGCAAAATCCCTACCTTCCATCTTTTTAGGGATACTACAATGGGTGTAGCAGACATAATCTTTTCTTCTCTTTTTTTGGGGGTTAGGCAATGGAGTTAAGTGACCTGCCCAGGGTCACACAGCTAGTAAGTGTTATGTATCTGAGGCCGGATTTGAACTCAGGTCCTCCTGACTCCAGTGCCATTGCTCTATCCACCGCGCCACCTAGCTGCCCCTAACACAATCTTAATTATGATGTAGGATTATAATCTACGCATACATGCAGGCACATGTATGTATGTATGCATGTATGTATGCATAAGGAAGCTCTTACCTAATAGAACTAATCAATCCCAAATAAGTTTGCTGTAAAGTAGATTCTACAGGTGGTGTGGTATAATGAAGAGAGAACCTGAATTGAAGTCAGGAGACACCTGGATTCAAATCCCAGACCACATATACTAGCAGGAATGCATAGCAAGATGTACAGATAGCTTAATGGAAGGAATGGAGCCAGGTCAAACCAGCTCTTAAGAGCAGATTATTACCTTTTCAGTATGTGCATTTATGCCTCAGAAATGGGCAAATGCTATAAATCCGGGCTTGATTTGTTTTGCTGATTTCTACACTTAAGAGAGGGATTGGAAAAAATGATGAGAATGCAAATTAAACTTCAAGGTGTGTCATGTTGACACCTTTGCAGAGAGCCAGTTGTAAAACACTTACCAACACAACAACCCTAAATACCTACTAAACCTAGGATTTCATTGATAGAGGTCACTCCCAGAAAAGGAAAGTCCCTCTACCAAGTCAGGTCAGCACCTTCTCTGCAACGTAGGCCAGAGTTGCCCAGCGCACTGAAAGGTTAAACAACTTGCCCAGAGCCAGTGTGTGTCAGGTGACAGGCTCTTAGGCTGTGTGACTAATGCAAAAAAATTACAAGATTTCTCTGAGTCTCAATTTCTTCATCCGTATGATGAAGTAAAACCTATTGTGAAGTTCAAGTAGCTACCAATTATTTAACACTTCAAGGTTTGCAAAGCACTTTACAAATATTATCTCATTTTAACCTCACAACAAGCCTAGGAGAAAGGTATAATTATTCATTTCATAGGCAAGGAAACTGAGGTAGACTGAATTTAAATGACTTGCCTAGGATCACACAATTAGTAAGTGTCTGAGGTAGGATTTGAATTCAGGGGCCCAACATTACACCACTTAACTGTCTTATGATCACAAATGACATCATGTATGCAAAGTTCTTTGTAAACCTTAAAAAGTGCTCTTGGAATGTCAACTGTTAATATTTTCCTTGGTTGGGGGGGGGGAGTGGAAAGAATGTCTTTGTTTAAAAAAAAATCCCACTTTAGAATTGCAGAATAACAGTGGTTAAAAAACTTCATCCTTTGGAGACCTATCATCTGGCAATTAGGTTTTCTGTACCAAGCTAGGACTGGTCTGTGGGCAACATGGTCGCTATGTCCACATCTACTCTACAGCTAGATGATACAGTCAATAGAGCACTGGGTCTGGAGTCAGGAAGACTTGAGTTCAAATCCAGCCTCAGACATTCCCTAGCTGTGTGACCCTGGGCAAATCACTTACCCTCTGTCTGCCTCAGTTTCCTCAACTGTAAAGTGAGGATAATAGCACCACCTCCCTCACAGGATTGTGGAGAAGATAAGGTGATATAATATTTATGAAGCACTTAGCACAGCACCTGGCACATAGCATATAAATGCTTATTCCCTTCCCTTTCTTTCCCCTTAAACCTATCCTTTTCTGAACTTTCTTATCTCTACCAATGATACCACCACTCTTCCAGTCACCCCTGTGGATTGCTTTCCCAGTTGCTGAAACCTATTCTGATCCTGCCCATGTTTCCCAAAGGGCTCAATCCTCTTTTTTTCCCTTTTTTTCCCTTTAAGATGAGGTCTGTATCTCACCTAGGTTGGGAGTGCAGTGGGGACTCCCAAGCCTGAGCCCACTGTCGATCAACACAGAAGCTTTAACCCTCTCTGTTTCCAACATAGACCAGTTAATCAGCCACTTGTGACCACATGTTCCCAGGATCAGGGTGAAGAGGTCCCCATCCTGGGAAGGGGATTAGTAACGACAACCAATTGGGCCCCACTGAAGCTCAGAACTCTCAAACTCAAGTGCGCTTTCTCAGCCTCTTCTAATAGCAGGGATTTACAAGCATGAGCCAGCATACCAGAGGATGTGGGAATCAAAGGATACCAGTTCAAATTCCAACTTTGCTGCTGATGTCCTTGGTCAAGTCTCACTTCACCTCCCTTGGCCTTGATTTTCTCACCCCAAAAATGGGGGGGGGTGGAGTAGGGGGTGGACCAGATGGCCTCAAGATTCCTTCTACCTTTAAATGTACAATGTCATTACATGTTCTCCAGAACAGTAATCAAAGGGCATGAACAGACAATTGTGAAGCAAGAGATAAAAATTGTCAATAAACACTTTCAAAACTGTTTAAATTTGCTAATATCAAAAAGATTTAAATGAAATTTAAACAACTTTAAGATATCACCCTTTATTTTTGTGGGGCAGAGAGGTTCAGACCTGTAATTTCATTGGTTTAGGGAACTCCCAGTGTTAAAATTCCTTTCACCAATGCAGATGAGCAAATTATCTAAAACTTAGAGTCTTAGAAAGTTGCCTGGAGCACTAAGAGACCAATGACTTGTCCAGAGCCACGTGAGTAGGTTTCAATTCGATTCAGTTCTACAGAGGCAGAACCTAGGTTTTTGTGATTCCAAGACCAGGCCTCTATCCACTAAACCTTACCTCTAGCAAACTACCAAAAATAGCTAAAAGCCATAAAATTCCATTGCAAACAAGTGCCCTATTGTATTGTTGAAAGGACTTAATTGCTGTAAGCCTTTTGGAGGCCAATCTAGCAGGATTCTAACTAAAATGCTGAACTGGTCCTTCCCCTTAACTCAACAATCCTATTAGTTCATGGGCTTTAGAGCTGGGAGGAATTTTAACAATCATCAGTTCATAGCGGTTAAAGTCATAGCCCACTGGCTTCAAGCGGGCCTACAAAATTCCCAAATGCCCCACAAGCCAGATTAAAATGTCACTTGGAATTATTTCAATCAAAATAAATAAAAGTACAATACAACACAGATAATATTAATTTCTATTAACGTAGTAGGTCACATAGTCAGTGCTAGAACTAGTATTCTAACCTTGGCCCAAATTCAAAGGTCTTTCCATTAAGCCATAGTTGCTTCTTATTGTTGGGATTATATTGGAGAAGAAACACACACACAAACAAGATTTTTTTGGGGGGGGGAGGGGAGTGTACTGTGCTAAGTGCTTTATAAATATTTTATCATCTTATCCTCACAACAATCTTGTGAAGGAGGTGGTGCTATTATCCCCATTTTACTGATAAGGAAACTGAGGCAGACAGAGGGTAAGTGATTTGCCCAGGGTCACACAGCTAGGGAACGTCTGAGGCTGTATTTGAACTCCAATCTTCCTGAGTCCAGGCCAGTGCTCTATCCACTGTGTCATTTAGCTTTAAAACAAGTATGCGCATAGTGACTGTGTCGCCCACAGACCAGTCCTAGCTTGGTACAGAAAGCCTAATCGCCAGATGATAGGTACCCAAGGGATGAAGTTTTTCAACCACTATTATTCTGCAGTATGATGTATTAATATCATAAAAGTTATTAGTTCAACTTAATTTTTCTCTTAATGAATTGTCAGGTTATTTTGGCAAGGCAGGGATACTACTGCCTAAAAAGACAGAGGAATCTATCTATATCAATAAGCTTAATGTGAGAATTATAAGCACAGGACTAACACCGGGAGAATGGGACTTCACCTTAAAGGTATAGGGTATTAGGGACAGCTACTAGGTGGCACAGTGGATAGAGCACCGGCCCTGGATTCAGAAGGACCTGAGTTCAAATTTGGCCTCAGACATATAACGCTTATTAGCTGTGTGACCCTGGGCAAGTCACTTAACCCCATTGCCTAGCCCCGCCCCCCAAAAAAGGTATAGGGTATTGGGGAGAATGAACTTTGAATGCACTCATGATCAGATTATCTTCTGTGCCTTTCCCCCTTCCCCCATCTTACTGTCCTCAGCATTGCTAACATCCTCTCCCAGCTCATCTGTTTTTACCTCAGGCTTAAAAAAACAAAAATCTAATTATGGCTCTGGCCTCCAGACATAGGTTCCCATGAAAATCACACACAAAGTTAAGATAAAAGAAAGGTGAATTTATTACATTTCTTTTCCACTTGTTACCCAATTCCGTTTCTCAAATCATAAACAGTTAAGTGCCCCCAAAGCATCCTGTACTAATTTCTTTTTGGCCTCAAGCACACACCAATTTGCAGATTTCTAAAGTTAAATCAAGAGAACTGTAATTTTTCCTTAATGGTCATTCATTTGTTAAATGAGCCAGGAAACTATGCTGAGCTAAGTTGTTTAGAGATTCAGAATGAGTGCTCAAAACAAATACCTGTGGAAAAGGATGGTTGAAAAGGAAACCCTGCTCCCCATATCGACATTTGCAACACCTCTTCTTAAAAACACATTTACCAGATGAGAGCAAGGAGGATTTTGTGTCTTTAGCATAAGTTTGGCTATTCCATCTTCGTGGCCCAGAACTTAATAAGCATATTACTTTAAGATGGCCCAGTCATAATGGGCATCGACAATGCAAGTGGTACAGAACCATCCCAGTGGGGGGCCATCTTACCTCAAGATAATGCCAATGAATAGAATCATTCCTAAGACCAGGCTTCCACCAGCTAGTAGGAATGTGTAGGGCGAATGAGTAGAGCCAGGCACTGTAGAAGAGGGGGAGAGAAACAAAATACAGATAGACCTCATTTATTGCGCTTTGCTTTATTGCATATTTTTTTAAATTGAAGGTTTATGGCAATCCTGCATCAGTGCTATTTTTCCAACAGCATGTGTTCACATTGTGTCTCTATGTCACATTTTGTTAATTCTTGCAATATTCCAAACTTTGCCCTTATTATTACATCTGTTATGGTGATCTGTGATCAGTGATCTTTGATATTACTCTTGTAATTGTTGTGGGGCCCCATGAACTTCATCCATATATGAGAGCAAACTTAATCTACAAATGTTGTGTATTAATCCAATTAATAACCTTACAATGGCCTCTAAGTTTTCACATGAAAGGAGGAGGATGCATCAAACTTCATTGTTGTCTTATTTTAAGAAATTGTCACAGCCATCCCAACCTTCAGCAGCCACCAACTTCGAGGCAAGATCCTTCACAGCAAAAAGATTATGGCTCGATGAAGGCTCAGATGACGGCTAGCATTTTTTAGTAAAAAAGTATTTTTGATTAAGATTATATACATTGGTTTTTTAGACATAATATTTTTTAGACATAATACTATTTCACACTTAAAAGACTACAGTACAATGCAAATATAACTTTATATGCACTGGGAAACAAAAAAATTCGTGTTACTCGCTTTACTGCCATGATCTGGAACCAAACATTTAGTATCTCCAAGGAATGCCTGTATATACATAGTATTATAAGTTTTGAAGGAGCTATCTCATATGTAAAGACAATGATGATAGCTCACACATATAATAAAACTTAAATACAAGAAGGATACAGTACTCATCAGTGTGGGGCGACTCCCAGTGTAGAAATTCCTTCCACCAGTACAGATCACAACTAGTCTATAAATTACAAGGCTCTGAGGCTCAGGAGGGGTTAAAGAACTTGTCCAGGTACACAAAACTAGTAATCAATCAATAATCATTTATTAAGTGTCTGCTACACGCCAGGCACTTTGCTACGTGCTGAGGATATAAACACAAAAGTGGCATCATCCTCTCCTGCAAAATGCTTGTAATCTAGTAGGGATGTAAATAGTAGGTAGGGACTGAGATGGGATTGGAAGCCATGCTTTCCCATCCTCTGGTCCTGTGCTCTCTCCACAATGATGACAACATTGCCTCTATCTGAGAGGCTGCCTGGCGCAGTGAGGAGAGGACTGAATTTGGAATCAGAGAATGTGAGTTCACATTCTGGCTCTATTACTCACTCATGGGAACTTGGGCAAGTAATAACCTCTCTGAATTTCAATTTATTCTTCTGCTGTAATGGATGAAATTCTAGGCATGGGGTCCAGAAAAGTTAAAGTTCAAATCCTGCCTCAGAAATGTTCCAGCTGTGCGACCTTGGACAGTTCACTTACCCTCATTATGCCGCAATTTTCTCATCAGCAAAATGAGGAAGATGTACTTCAGGGGTGGGGAACCTGCATCCTCAAGGCCACATGTGGCCCTCTAGGTGCCCAAGTGCAGCCCTTTGACTGATTTGGGCCACACTTGACCTAGAGGGCCACATGTGGCCTTGAGGATTTAGGTTCCTCACCTCTGGACTAGATTGTTCCTAAAGTCCCCTCCAGTTTTAAATCTGTGATCCTATGAAATGTAGGAGTTAGATTAGATGCCTTCTAAAGACTCCTTCAGCTCCAAATAATCAGTGCTGTGAGGATTATTCACATTTAATTAGCACTTGCAGGTTTATGAAGCTCTTTCGTATAACTCCTTTAATTCCCTTCTCCCAACAGCCCAAGAAATCTTGGAGGTTAATAGTGAAATAGAACAAATATCATCATGTCCATTTTACAGAGAGGGAAACTGAGGCTCAGAGAGGTTAATGACTTTCCCAACATCACACAGCTAGTAAGTAATAACACAGATTCTCTTCTATTAATCTTTTAATTAATCCATTTAATTAGTCCTTTACTCTTTCCACTATGCCATGTTATTGTTGTCGTTTAGTCACTTTTCAATTGTGTCCCATACTTTGTGACCCCATCTGGGGCTTTCCTGGCAAAGACACTGGAGTGGTTTGCCATGTCCTTCTCCAGATTATTTTACAGATGAAGAAACTGAGGCAAATGGAGTTAAATGACTTGTCCAGGATCACACAGCTATTAAGCTGTGGGGCTGGATCTGAACCCGGAAGGATGAGTCTTCCTGACTCCAGGCCCGGTACTCTATCTATTGCGCAACCTAGCTGTACCCCTAAACCTCTCACTATGCCATACTGCTTCTGAAAATGAAAAAAAACAACCACCACTCAGCACAAGTCCAACCATGTCTAGGCCAGCTTGGGCCTCTACAGAAGTGCTACCACTGCCTTCTTTCATGGATATTTGCATACCCATCCTCCCTCCCAGTCATACAGAGCCAGATGGGTCTCTTTGGGTTTTTAAAGTCTGACCACAGTCTTGTGCAGGCTAGTAAAGCAGTTGTTTTGAACAGATACCAAATCTCCTCCTTAGGGCACAGATGGGGCTTTGAGAAGATCAATTCGACATAAACAACACTTTACATCTGTGCAGCACTTTACAATTTACCAAGCACTTTCCACAGGAACTCAGTGAGAATAGGTAGAGCAAGCACCCTTATCTCCACTTTACAGATAAGGAAACTGAGGCACAGTTTCCAAGTTTGCTAGCTTCAGGGTAGATTACCTAAAGGAAGTTAGGCATATTTGGTTGCATTGTGCAGCTAGGTGGTAGAGTGGATGAAGTGGATGGAATGTTGGTCCTGGAGGCAGGAGGACCTGAGTTCAAATGTGACCTCAAACACTTCCTACTTATGTGACCCTAGGCAAATCACCTAACCCTGTCTGCCTCAGTTTCTTCATCTGTCCAATGAGCTGGAGAAGGAAAGGGCAAACCACTACAGTATCTTTGCCAAGAAAACCCCAAATGAGGTCACAAAGAGTTGGACACAACTGAAAAATGACTGAACAATAATCTTTGTATATATACTACATATACATACATGTAAACATGTGTACACAACATGTGTTTATGTGTGGTATATGTGTGTGTGCATATGTGCACATCTACACTGTAAGTTTCTCAGGAATGAACATTTTGCATAAACTTCTTATCAGCAGTCAGCTCTGTCCCAGCTTCAAGTAATGCAATATAGTTGGGAAGTGACTCTAGCGCATTTCTTAACATTCTTCTCTAATTCAAACTTGTCACATTGGTTTTCAACCCATTGTTCAAAATTACTAAGATTTTTCCATATTCTCTTTCCATCCACAGCTTAACCCAGAGCTCCTAGAAACTGAACGCTGGACTCTTTTTTTTTTGGGGGGGGGCCTAGGCAACGGGTTAAGTGACTTGCCCAGGGTCACACAGCTAGTAAGTGTCATGTGTCTGAGGCCGCATTTGAACTCAGATCCTCCAGAATCCAGGGCCGGAGCTCTATCCACTGTTCCACCTAACTGCCCCTGAACACTGGACTCTTACCTGGCAGAGTGTTAGTGACGCCTTCAGGGTTTTCTCGGGAAAGGCTTTCATTGTAGTCATCTGAGGTAGTAGGCACCTGAAAACGACATTCCACAAGTTCATTCATTCAGTGAGCATTTATTAACCACTTACTTTTCAAGGGCTCATAGCCTGGGGGTCTATAAACTTGTTTATATATTTTTATAATTGTATTTCAATATAGCAGGTTTCCTTTGTAATCCTATGTGTTTTATCTCATGCATTTAAAAACATTATTCTAGGCTTCACCAGACTGCCAAAGGTCCAGGACACAATAAAGGTAAGAATCCTTGGCTTATTTACTGGTGTTAGGTGGCTGGAGGATACAATGGAAGAAATATTGTTCTGGTCTCTTTCTGTTCTGTATGCATCTATCCCAGGGGTGGGGAACCTTTGGCCTTGAGGCCACACATGGCCCTCTAGGTCCTCAAGGACCCCTGCCCACATGTGGCCTCAAGGCCCCAGGTTCCCCACCTCTGATCTATTCTCTCTCCCTCTGAGATCTTATCTACACCATCACCCTGGCCCTGTTCTGTGAGCTTTAGTGCTACATTTCTGACTGCCTCCTTGACATGTACACCTCCTCAAAAGCCTTCAGAACAGGAGTGTGCTGGAGCCTGCTCAAACCACTGGGAAGAGCTGATTGTTAAATGTTCAGTGTGAGCATTTATATTTCAGAAATTGGCAAATGCTACAATCTGGGCTTGATTTATCATTTTGTTGATTGTCTAGACTTAAGAGAGTGATGGAGAGGGGCAGCTAGGTGGCAAAGTGGATAGACAGCTGGCCTTGGAGTCAGGAGAACTTGAGTTCTAATGTGACCTCAGATACTTATTAGCTGTGTGACCCTGGGCAAGTCACTTAACCCTGACGTCTCCGAAAAAAAAAAAATGATGGAGAAATTGTTAATAATGCTGATTAAACTTAAAAGTGTGTCATTTCTAATGTGGAAATGCATTTAACATGATTACACATGTATAACCTATATCAGATTGCTTGCCATCTTAGGGAGGGGAGGGAGGGAGAAAAATTTGGAACTCAAATTCTTTTTTTAAAATTTTATTAATTTATTTTGATTTATCAACAATCACTTCCATTTGCTTTTGAGTTTAAATTTTTTCTCCCCCTTCCTCCCCACCACCCTCCCCAAGACGGCGCATAATCTGATATAGGCTATACATTTGCATTCCTATTAAACATATTTTCACATTAGTGAAGTTGTAAGTAAAAATTAAAACCAATAGGAGGAACCATCAGAAAGATGAAACAAAACTCAACAGAAGAGAAAAAAATGATAGCGATTCAACTTCTATAGTTCTTTCTTTGGATGTGGACAGCATTTTCCATCACAAGGCCTCTGGAGATATCTTAGATCCTTGTAATGCTGAGAAGGGTTAAGTTTATCAATATTAGTCATCGCACAACGTCGCTGTTATTGTGTACAAAGTCCTCTTGGTTCTGCTCACTTCACTCAGCATCAGACCATACAAGTCTTTCCAGGTTTTTCTGAAGTTAGCCTGTTCATCATTTCTTATAGCACAATAGTATTCCATTACATCCATATACAACAACTTGTTCAGCCATTCCCCAATTGATGGGCATCCTCTTGATTTCCAATTCTTTGCCACCACAAAAAGAGCTGCTATGAATATTTTTGTACATGTGGGTCCTTTTCCCATTTGTTTGATCTCTTTGGGATATAGCCCTAGAAGTGCTATTGCTGGATGAAAGCGTATGCACATTTTTATAGCTCTTCGGGCATAGTGGAACTCAAATTCTTATAAAAAATGAATGTTGAAAACTACCTTTACATGTAATTGGAAAAAAATAAAATATTATTTACATAAAATACAAATAAATAAATAAAAGTGTGTCACTTGCACTTTTTTTGGGGAGCCAGTTGTTAAATGTTTAGTAGCACATCCTTGCTTTAGGGGCTTCCTAGTGCCAATAAGATGAAGTCTAAACTAGTCTGCTTGGCATTCAAGGTCCACCTCTAGGTAGTCTCAAATACCTTTTCAATCTTTTCTCCCACTATTACCTTACATCCAGCATCCACTCTAGCTCTGTTGAACTACTCAATAGGAAGCAGCATGGTAGAGAGCACTGGATTTGGATTCCAAAAGCCCTGGTTCAAATTCTACCTCAGATACTTATTAGCTCTATGACCCCTGGGCAAGTAATTTCATTTTTCTGGGCCTCAGTTTCCTCATCTGTAAAATGGGGGGAGGAGTTGAACTCCTTGATCTGAGGTCTCTTTCAGCTCTAAATCTATGACCCCCTTCAGTGGTCCTTGTGAATCCCAGCATCGATGTTTCTGTCCTTCCTAGAATACCCTTCCTCTCCTGTCTGATGCCTACAACTAACTTCTGGAGCTTTCCTTCAAGATCCCAATCAAACCCATCTTCCCCCTTTGGCCATCCCTCACTACTCCCACGATCCATGGCCTCTCCCCCTCTCCAACAAAGGGCATTTATTATTTGTCCTGCTTCCCATATGCCAGCTTAACTGGCATTATTATGATTTACCTTTTTTAGATACATGTTCAGGCTCCCCAACTATACTGAAAGCCCCTTGAGGTCAGGCCTCAGGTTTCCTATCTTTTTCACCAGCCTCTAATCTAGCCGCAAGGTTTAACTAGCACCCTACACACAAAAAAATACTCAACAGATGTGTATTGATGAGTCCCCCAGGGTCAGACACTTACTCCCTCTCAGCTCCTGTCTTTTCTTCCGGTCCTGTCCAATGCTTACACCACCATCACCACACTCTCTCTCTCTCTCTCTCTCTCTCTCTCTCTCTCTCTCTCTCTCTCTCTCTCTCTCTCCTCTCTCTCTCTCTCTCTCTCTCTCTTCTCTCTCTCTCTCTCTCTCTCTCTCCCTCCCTCTCTCCCGTCTCTCTTTCTTTTTCTTCCTCCCTTCCTCCCTTTCTCTTCCCCTTCCTGTCTCTCTTTCTCTCTCCCTTTTCCCTTCTCTTTCTTTCTCCCTCTCCCTGTCTGCCCCAAAGGGCTTATCCTGCTGTGAGTGGCTGGGCCACAAGTTTTAGTGCTTAGGGAATTATGTCCCTAGTTAAAGAGGCTTAGTAGGAAAGGGAAGAAATTCGGTTACTTAAGAAGGAGAGCTAAGCAGCTTTGCCTGTAATCTCTCAGTCAAATTATGATACCATGAGCCCACTGGGGCAAGAATGGTCCAATTCTATTTTCTCAAAGACACTTATCAAATTTCAAGGACCAACAAAGAAGAACCAGAGGTCCTAGTGACAACTTCATAGCTTACCTGTGTAGAAATGAATAATTCTGTCTCAGCTGCAAAGCTATTGGTTTCTGCAGATTTAAGAAAAGGATCATTATTTACAATTAGGATAATAATTTATGTTTTTCTAATGCTTTAGGGGGGACAATCAGGTGTTAAGTGACTTGCCCAGGGTCACACAGCTATTAAGTATCTGACACCAGATTTGAACTCAGGTTCTCCTGACTCTAGGGCTGTGCTCTATCCACTGCACTGCCCAGCTGCCTCTTTTCTAATGCTTTGTGACATGATGGCCTTGGAGTTGGCCTTGGAGTGAAAACGACCTGAATTCTAGTCCTGGCTCTAATACATACCAGCTGTGTGACCCTGGCCAAGTCACCTAATTTCTTAGTGCCCCAGGCAACTCTCTAACACTAGCCTGCGGATGAGTAACAATATGCATTGGGTTTCCACACAGGAGCTCCCTATACCCAGGAGATTATTTATCTGGGCATCTATGGTGACAAAATACCTCATAGACATTATTTCTCTCGAACCCTATGAAGTAGATATTATTCCCCTTTTTATAGCTACAGAAATAGCAGCTTAGAGAAATTTAGTGTCTTGTCCAGGGCCACATGGTTAATAAACATCAGAGCTAGGACTTTAGTCCAGGGCCTTCTAATTCCAAATCCAAGACTCTTTGCATCAAACTACCCTGCTCTGGGCTATTCCTCAAGATACCTCTGGACTTTAAAAATGGAACAAGTTCTGAGGCTTATGGCATTGACTTTAGGAAACTCGTTCAAAGTTGGGATGGTCCAGATGACTTCTTAAAGCCCTTTCTCTCTAAACATTCTCAGATTCTCTGTGGGAATGAACTCTTCCAAAGGGACAAAGGGCTGACAACTGGGCACTGGAATATGACTAGGATAGAGTGGAATGCCTTTTGGGTTTTGAAATATTTGTTGTTTCTTGTTTAGTTAATCAACCCAACATCAAGAAGTTAAAAATAATATTGGAAGGGTTTGCTAAGGAATGTCAGTGCAGAGACTATGTGAATTACTCCGTGAGGGAGCCAAGAGAAGTGGCTGGAGAAGATGGCAGCCATCAGATGAAGGGTAGCCCAGTGGTATTTATCGTCAGGGGAAGAATGAACCCTGCCATGTGGTTCAGTTGAAGTCTATTGAGAATTATTAACTATCTGTTGTGGACAAGGCGCTATGCTAGGCACAGAGGGAAGAGTGGTGGGGAAGAGAAGAAGAAGAAAGTGTTCCTGCCCTCGAGGAGTTTATAATCTAGACAAAACCAGGCATTCAGGAAACTGGAGAGAATTCAATTTGGGGAGAATAGCAGAAGAACAGAGAGAAGAGTCCACCTTAGATTCAGTTGCTTCACTCACCACAGTTGAAATGGAAGGTAGGGGGCATGGTGATGAGGTAAGCCCCAGCAGAAGGGTGGGTATCTCAGTAGTGGCACCCACCATGCAACATAAATAAGGCCAGCAGAGGACAGTGAGTTGAGAGGATAACAGTGTGGGTGACTGCCTTTGGAAGGAAGTATATGTCACCATTGAACATTGGAACCCTGGGATAAAACCTTGGTTGCCCTCCTGTTGTTTTACCTAGAGGATGGCCAACTGAAAATTAAAGTGGAGTCACTTTTTTCATCTCTTAAGCTATTATTCTTCATATTTCTGTTCTTTCACCGAACAGACTCCTAGGAGAAGCTTTCTATGCTCATTGCCTCTATTTCATCTCCTCTCAACCCTTCACAATCTGACCACCATATCACTCGATTGAAACTGATTTCTATAAAGTTAACAATTACATTTCAATGGCCAAACCCAATAACCTTTGCTGATTCTTCATCTTTGTTGATTTCCCTGCAGCATTTGACGTTGTTGGGTACCTTCTCCATCTGGATGCACTCTTTGCTCTGGCATTCTGTGACACTGCTCTCTCTTGGTCCTCCAGTCTCTTTTGCTGGATCATCAACCATGGTACTCCCCAACTGTGTGTGAACCCTAAAGTCCTGTCTTGAGTTCTCTTTTCTTCTTTCCCTATACTTTTATTTCTGTGATCTCATCAGCTCCCAATGATTCAATTATCACTTCTGCACATGGCTCCCAGATCTCATATTCTTCTCTAGCCTTTGCCCCAAGCTCTAGGCCCACATTACCAATTCACTATTGGACATTTTCAGCTGGATGTTCCATAGGCATCTCAAACTTGATATACCCAAAGCAGAACTCATTATCACCATGCCATCACCAAACCCACCCCTCTTCCTAACTTCCCCCTTTCTGCTGAAGATGCCACCATCCTTTTAGTCACTCGAACTTGGGATCAACCTCATTTCTTCACCCTCCCTTAGCTTCTGTAACCAATTAGTGGCCAAGTCTTGTAGATTCTACCTCTACAACCTCTCTCTCAACTATCTCCTTCTCTCTACTCATAGAAACCTCACCTTAGTTCAGGCCCTCATCCCTCTCACCTGGATACTCACAATAGCCTTCTAACGGTCTCCTCGCCTCCAGTCTCACCTCACTCCAGCACATCCTCATAGATGGTGAGATCCTAAAGCAAAGGGTTTCCTGTGTCATTCCCCTACTCAGAAAGCTCCAGTGGCTTCCTATTGACACTAGAATAAAATACAAATTCCTCTGTTTGGCGTTTAAAACCCTTCATAATCTGGCTCCAGCTTCCTTTTCCAGGCTTATTATGCCCCTTCAAGCATTATATTTCCCAATTGGTCTACTTCCTTTTTATCATACACAACATTCTATTGCCCACCTACATGCCTTTTGCATGGGCTGTGCCTCACACCTGGAAGGCCCACCTCCCTCATCTCTGCCTCGCAGAACTCCTAATTTCCTTCAAAGCTTAGCTCTAGTGCCACCTCCTACACGAAGCCTTTCTCTATCTTCCCAATTGTCTTTTTCCTCCCTGCACCTATGGTATGTGTACATGATTTTCCCTGATAGAGTATAAGCTCTGGAGGGCAGGGATGGTTTTGATTTTTAATTTGATGCTGAAGACTCAGCACAGCGGCAGCTAGGTGGCACAGTGGATAGAGCACCAGCCCTGGATTCAGGAGGACCTGATTTCAAATCCGGTCTCAGACACATAACACTTACTAGCTGTGTGACCCTGGGCAAGTCACTTAACCCCATTGCCTAGCAAAAAAAAAAAAGACCCAGCACAGTGCCTGGCACATAGTAGTTGAGACTTAATAATTGCTTATTGACAAGACTGATCCTTCTGTGCTGTTGTTATTGTTCAGTCATATCCAACTCTTCATGACACCATTTGGGTTTTCTTGGCAATGATACTGGTTTGCCATTTCTTTCACCAGCTCATTTTACAGATGAGGAAACTGAGGCAAGCAGGGTGAAGTGACTCGCCCAGGGTGACACAGCTAGTGTCTGAAACTGTATTTGAACTCAGCTCCAGGCTGAGTGCTCTATCCACTGTGCCACCCAGCTGCCCTCGCCTTATGAGTAAATTCATTAAATAGGTAAGAAGAGCATCAAAAAACTAATGGATTAAATCAATTTCATGGAAGTCAGGCCAAAGCAGGAAGTTGGTGTCATGAATGATGAATAATGACAATTCTGTCTAAAGTGCACAGTTGTAGGATCAGCCATAGAAATACAGCCTTAGAGCAATAAGGAAGCTTAGAGGTCATAGTCCAACCTTCTCATCTTGCAGATGAGCAAATTGAGGCCTAGAGGGGTTAAGTGAATTGCCCAAGGTCACCTAGCAGAAGAAATGTTATATCTCAAATGTGGCTGACCATATCCCATTATGGCAACTGGAAATCATTATAGACCTTTCTAGAGTATAAGAGAAAAGCAGGTTTTGCAGGTTTTGCATTGTTATTTATAAGGATCATAACAAGATCTAAGATTTAGAGCTGGAAGGGACCATAGAGGTCATTGAGCTCACCTCCCTCATTTTACAGATGAGAAAACTGAGGCTGGAGAGGTTAAGTAACTTTCTCAAGGTCACACAGAGAGATGGGGGTGGGGATTTGAACTGGGACGTTGAGTCCAAATCCAGTTCTCTTTTCATTGTAGCAGGAACATATCATTCTGCATATATATGTAAACTGTATAAATTATATATACAGATAAACTATATAATGTAAACAATAATCACTTTATTTAATTATATTCAGTTCTTCACTTCTCACTTTACTTTGCAACTGGAAATAACCTATATCAAAGATGGAAAAGATTTTTGTTTTATTTCAATCAAGGACTGTTGACCTACCAAAAAAATGAATCAAAGGCAGCACTCAAATAAAAAGTAATTTAATTAGTTAATTTGGAAGGTTGGATTTGGGTTTGAGAAGAGAAATTTTAAATGCTCAAGGCATCCAGTTTTAAAATTAAGAACAGAGAATGCAATATTCTATTCAATAAACACCACAAATAAACATATGCCACCTAGGGTAGCTAGGTGGCACAGTGGATAGAGTGCTGAGCCTGGAGTCTGGAAGACTCATCTTCCTGAGTCTAAATCCAGCCTTAGACACTTACTAGCTGTGTGACTCTGGGCAAGTCACTGAACCCTGTTTGCCTCAGTTTCCACATTTGTAAAAGGAGCTGAAGAAGGAAATGGTAAACCGCTCCAGTATCTTTGCCAAGAAAACCCCAAATGGGGGTCACAGAGAATAGGAAGTCAAAAACAGCAGCGACAATGTCTCAGAACTGTAAGTCGGTGAAGATTGTGAAAAGGAACCTGAAGAAAAAACAATAAGGAAAGGAGGCAGAGAGCAAAGCAAGAAAAGAGAGAGAAACTGGGATGGAGGAGTAGGGGGAAACTGTCAGACACAGGGTGAGGGCAAAGGGAAAGAAGGGAGGAAGAGAGAAAGACACAAAGGGCCCTTTAAATGCTAATGAGCTGATGAGGGCTATTCACAGATCTTCATCTGCTTTTTTCTTTTTAAAGCTGAAAAGGACAACCACAGTAATTTTAGGAATGTAGGAGGGAAGAATTATTCTCTGACCCTGAGAGTCAGTGGTGAACTTTCTCTTTCCAGTCTAGACCCGCTCTTGCCCACCCCTTGTCTAGATGATCTCAGA